AACAACTGATCCAGAGTGTATCAGAATCTGTCCAATAGATTCGATCGATCGATTGCGAATGCTGGATTAAACCTCTCCAATCCAACAAACAATACTCTACTTTGGGATTATGAAGGCCTAGACCGCAGTCCACGAAGACAATATGTTTCTGACGGTGAAGAAGATCAAGAACATCTGGACTATTTAGAAACTCTTAATCCTGCCGTTGGAACCGATGACGAACTCTCCAAAAGAGTAAAGAAATTTCTGGACGACTTCAACCGGAGTAGAGCGAAAAAATTAACTGAATCAGAAGAGTTTTCAAGTGAGCAACCTGAATTGCCCACCACGGTGGAAGGATCACAAAAGGAAACTCCTCTAACTAGTAAATCTACCAAACCAAGGAGACAAAGTACGGTAAGATTCAAGGACATCCCAGAAGTCTTTGAACATTCTATAGATGATCAAACACTCAAGATGGAAACCGAGCTATCTACTCCAGGGCCATCAACTATCCCACGTGCACAATCCACCCCGTTCACGGGATTCAAGGATGAAGGGATCAACTCCAACCGGGAGATCACTGTGAGGAACCAGGGCATGAAACCCCGACGAATACAGGATATAGACAATGATGTAGCAAAGAAGTGCGCGCCTCTTAGCTCTTCGTTCCTGAACTTCAAGAATTCGTATTTTGATCCTCCATCATCTTCCGGAGCATCCAGTGAAAGTGATCGTGATTGTGATAGTGAACCCCAAGAATTGAAACCGAACAACAGCAAGCCCCTTGGTGGTGTAACAAATCAATGGACAGAACCTTTGACGTACAGACGAGACAACTATGCCCACTTCCTTTCTGAAGATTGCGAACCGGTCGATCCAATCTCGAAATTATTAGTCGCTACAGAAAATATCGACTTACAGGATATTAGGGACAGTAGACCCGTCAAAGGACAAATTTCATTTCCCCTAACGGTAAATACAAGGTCTTTTCGATCATTGTTAAAAGACGCCATTTTGATGAAGTTTGTTGGAAAGATGTTATAATCGGACTAAAAAATTTAAGAAAAGCCTTAGCATCTAACAATCAAAATTCTTGTCGAATGGCAAATTCCGGAGACCTGCTAGGTACACTCCCTCAAAATAAAATGTCGGAACTTGTCGCAGGAATTTTCCGCGGTGGCGACGCAGCCATCACCTTGTGCCACGGAAAAATTGAAGTACCCCCAGTCGAACTACGCGGTAAAATCGTTTCCGAATTTCATTCCAGTTTGATAGGTGGACACAAAGGTATAGGCAAGACCTACCGACGAATTAGGGAAAGATACTATTGGCCCCGGATGCGCGACGACGTTACCCAATTTATTCGAGGATGTAAGAGTTGTTTCGAAAACAAGCTCGCTAGGGCCCGTACAAGAGAACCAATGATAATTACCGATACTCCGGCAATGCCTTTTGACAAGGTGTCTTTAGACACCGTCGGAAAATTGCGAACCACCCCAAACGGAAATCGGCACATCCTCACAATGCAGGACAATTTCTCTAAGTACTGTATCGCGGTCCCCATTCCGAATATAGAAACAAAAACAATTGCCCATGCGGTAGCTACGAACTTATTCTCAGTGTTTGGAGCACCCCGTTGCATTCTAACGGATAGAGGAGCAAGTTTTGTTAGCACCTTGATGCGTAAGTTAGAAAAAATTTTTGGCGTTAAACAACTTACGACATCTGGTTACCGCCCACAAACTAACGGGGCACTTGAGAGAAGTCACATCGAACTGACGGATTATATTAAACATTACGCGAAGGATTTTGACGATTGGGATCGTTTGCTTCCGTTTGCGATGTTTAATTATAATACGTCCGTTCATGAGGCAACCAATTTTACCCCATACGAACTCGTGTTTGGACATTTGGCTAAAGCACCCAGTTCGTTACCTCAAGGGCCCGAAATCGAAACATATGGATCCTATCTAAAAGACTTAATTACCCGGATGAACGAACTGCAAAATTTAGCTGCTAAATATCTAGTTCGATCAAAAGAACGATCAAAAGAGATCTACGATCGTAAAGCACGACCTTTGAATGCCAAAATAGGCGACAAGGTGTATGTTTTTAAAGAAGTTCGGTCAAATAAGTTTGATAAGCGCGCAGAAGGACCGTATACCCTTGTAGGATTCACACAGAATAACAATGTGATCCTCGAAACCAAAAACGGTGAAAGGTTTGCAAAACATAGGGATAAGGTCAGGGTTGCCCAATTGTGAAATTCCTGACTTAATTCTAAACCCATATTAACTTGTTCTTTCTGATTCTAGATTGACAAACAAGCGATGATGACCAATTACCTAACTTTGACATGCCTCTTCCTAACCTTAGTGATGACAACGAAGCAGACCTATTCCCACGATGTGGAGATGACTACCGCCAGTGATCGTTACCAGATCACTCCTTTCAAGTCCAGCAGCGGGATATATTTCGAATATATCGGAGAAGTCAGGAGGTCCGTCAGCAACTGGAGGATTGCCGTATTCCTGGATGTGGGCAAGCAGACTCGATTCTTTGACGACCTAAGGAGCAGGCTGCAGCGACTAAAACAGCAGTGTAAACCTGAGGAGGAATGGTGCAACGAATTAGTCGAATACTATGACTGGGAAGATAAATGGGAAATGGCCTCAGAACTTCAAAAACAGTTTCGAGTCCAGATCGAAGAACTGGAAAATACTAAAAAGACCTTACCAACCAAGATGACCACCCAACTACGAGCAAGGCGTTCAGTCCCACTATTGGGATTCCTGGGAAAGATTGCAGGACCAATCGTCGGCGTTCTGACCTATGACGACGGAGAAAAATATAGTGCTGCCATCCAAGATCTCAACGAAGCCCAGGCCAACTTGTCACACCTGGTGGGAAAACAAACCCACGTAGTGAGATCACAACTCGATTCGCTGCACTCCCAGGTGCAACAACATGGATCTTTGCTGAAGGAACTGCAGGAACAACTCCAAGTCCTGATTGCCGTAGGAAGTACTAAGTCGAAGGCCGAAATGGAGAGAAGAAATCTGACATATGCCATCGCCAAGGCATTAAGATTGGGCCTCGATCACAACATGCAGGCCACTACCACTATGTTAGAAGCAGTTCATGAAGCCAGGAAAGGATATCTACACCCCGGCCTCATAACATCAGAACAACTGGAACCAATTCTGCGAGAAGTGCAGGATAACCTCAAGGATGTTCAGTTTCCATTGACCGGACCTAGGATCAGCATCGATGAACTGATGCGTATCTCCACCATCACCATCCTGTGTGAGAATCATCAACTTAAGGTCCTCATCGACATACCACTCTTAGAAAAATATAATTATCAAGCCTTCAAATTACACTCACTCCCGACCACTCAGGAAATGCTCGAGAATGGTACCGGAAGAGCATACATAAAATCTGAATATGATTACCTTATTACTGACGAGGATCAACGAACATACCTCTTGTTAAAGGAGCAGGAATGGAATTTGTGTAAAACAACAACATCTTTTCACGCCTGTCTTCAGGGCGCCCCAATCTACGATCTCCGTGAACGAGCGTCCTGTGAAGCCTTATTGTTGATCAAGCCCAACGTGGAAGCTTTAAGGTTTTGCAACATCAGAGTAACCAGCGAATCCAAGTCTTACTGGAAGCCTTTGACCACCATAGGCGGATGGATCTATTCCTTTGCTGCACCAGAAAAGGCGACAATAGCATGCCATTCCATGAGTCCAATCAAGATCATGCTGAGCGAAGTCGGGATCCTCAAATTGGGTCCAGGCTGTTCCCTTAAAACCAAGGACGCCATAATTCCAGCCACCACCTCACAAGCTGGTCAATCAGAATTTATTTTTGAATCAGATCTGCATTTAAACTTAACGAAACTCTCTCCAACACTACTAAAATATAATCACCTGCTCGAGAATACTAGAGTCCTAACGAAGTCCATCCTTGAATTTAACCCGAATTTATCAGCATTCGAGCTGAATTCAAAAACCCTAGATGAACTAGAGCAACAACTTCAAGAGTTCGCCTTACAGCAACATAATCAAGGAAGACACTCGACCTTGATTTACGGATCATATGGAGGAATTATTCTCCTATGTGCATTTCTGCTTATGTACCTGTGTCGATCACCGCTGAAAACCGGGACATATAAACTGTCTCAAACAATTTTCTCAAGGTCGAGTGATGAGAGTATCCAAACGTCACAACGAAGGAAACCATCGATTAAAACTCCAACACCCAAGGATGTTGCTGGATTATACGAGGATATCCCTTCTACAAGTACAACCGCTGTCAACAAGGAGGTGACCATACAACAAAGAACAACCTCAACTGAACCAACAATTACTCCAAAAAAGGAGATAAAGTCTGCAACGTCCGAAGATAGACCATCAGTGAAGATCAGATGACTAACCGAAGGATTAAGTTCCAAGCTGCATGGAATCCAGGTGGAGGAGACTTCATTAAGAAAGAATCGCGAACCACCTTCTCGCCAGTAGCTCCGCCAAACGTAACCTTGCAAGGCAACAATGAAGATCTTCGACTTGAAGAGGTTAGTGTTCACGACGACCCTAAGAAACGTTCAAAATCGCCATCTAAAACAACCTGATCTCACAGGTCTAACTATCTATTTTTTTTTCTTACACATAAAAATCCAAAAGAAATATTTTAAACTCAAACTCAATTTCAAATTTTGCTTAATATGAATTCAATATTAAAAAGTTTTCTCATTCTACTAAATGGAACTTTGTTTTAATTTCATTATTAGGTTATTAAGAAAATTCTTATTTAACATAAAAAAAAATAGTTTAATGAATTATTCATTGTGTAATCTAAATATTCAAATTTAATTATTTTAAGATGAATTAAACACTTTATAAGATATATATATTAAGAAATTTTGATAGGTTAGTTTAAATAATAATCATTAATTGCGTTTTATTTTTATTTTATTTTTTTTTACAATTAGTAAGAGCACTGAAATGAAAAGGGCCGTGTTTTTTTTTGACTCAATTATTTGACTTTGACCCACAAGGGGTTGTCGCAAACTTTTTGCCCACGCACAAAATGGACATATCTCGGACCAGGTATCAGAGAGCTTGATAACCGCAACTTGTACGTACAGCTTGTACATCTCCATACGTACGGATATAGTTGGTTAGTCACTCTCTGTGGAAGATGGTGAATAATGTCCGCCTAAAAAAAAAAGTTAGAGAGAGAAACATAATTAAAAAGATATGAATATATAATTAATACTTATATACCTCATTAAAATACTAGAAACAGTAGGTACTCAAAACTTACTCGATAGGGTCCAATGGCATTGATACGGTCCACTTCTCTTTGGAATACCTCAGTGTGATTGAGGCTATCGAAATCCTTCCTCTCCCGGAATAGCTTCACGTGTATCATCTCGTGCAGCATGGTCCCGATCAGATCTTCTTCAGGAAGCATGCTGTGTACTTCCCAGTTTATGCGCACCTCGCGCCTAGGCAAATCCGTGCACCCCGAAGCGGATGGCATCTTCGGCCCCCAGTGAAACGTATAGCCCGCATTTGCGAGCTCATTATTAAAATAGATCTCGTCCAAATGATCATACAGTCCTTTCAGATCTGGACGCCCGTCCGTAGCCCGTTTGCGCTGAAATAATTTCAACCCTGGCTCTAAGGGTTGTTTCTGCGATCTTGTTACCCTCTCGCTCATGTTGAGAATACACCTAGACGCAAACAAAATGTACATTAAAAAAAAAAATTTTATTATATATATATGTATATTTTTGGAACTTTGGAAAGTTAGTTAAATTAACAAATTAAAAAAAAAAAAAAAAAAAAAAAAAAGACAAAAGCAGAATTTCGCAAGTAGATTGTCAAAAATGTCGTTTTCGGAGCGCCCCAACTTTAGAGACATTTTTGAGGCATTCCCGTTAAAGATAGACGACAAGCGAGAGTAGGGAAAAATGTTGGAACCACGATTCCAAAGAATAATATAGTATTAGCTAGACAAAAATCGGTTTATTTATGTGGTATTTACGAAAAATTTCTCGATCCTGTCATTATTGAGCGCGCGAGATACTTGCTGACCGCCGCCGAGCATGGTAGTCACCGCCGACCACGCGAGAACGCCGCCGACCGCATAATTGCCACTCGTCTTTAAAAGATTGTCTAAGTATAAACAAAGCATTTTGGTTAAAAAAAAAAAGGGAATTATTTTATTAATTGAATTAACAAAAGTCAGTAGGATGATAAAAGCAGAATTTCGCAAGTAGATTGTCAAAAATGTCGTTTTCGGAGCGCCCCAACTTTAGAGACATTTTTGAGGCATTCCCGTTAAAGATAGACGACAAGCGAGAGTAGGGAAAAATGTTGGAACCACGATTCCAAAGAATAATATAGTATTCGCTAGACAAAAATCGGTTTATTTATGTGGTATTTACGAAAAAATTTCTCGATCCTGTCATTGCCGAGCGTGCGGAGTACTTGCCAGTGGCCACTGCCGAGTGCAGCAGTCGCCGCCGACCACGCGAGAACGCCGCCGACTGCATGATTACCACCCGTCTTTAAAAAGATTGTCCAAGTATAACAAAACATTTTGTTTAAGAAAAGAATTGTATTATTAATTGAATTAACAAAAGCCAGTAGGATGATAAAAATAGAATTTCACTAGTAGATTATCAAAAATGTCGTTTTCGGAGCGCCCCAACTTTAGAGACATTTTTGAGGCATTCCCGTTAAAGATAGACGACAAGCGAGAGTAGGGAAAAATGTTGGAACTATGATTCCAAGGAATAATACAGTATTCGCTGGACAAAAATCGGTTTATTTACGCGGTATCTATGACTAATTTTTTCGACCGTCATTTTCGAGCGCGCGAAGTACTTGCCAGCGGCCACCGCCGAGCATGGCAGTCACCGCCGACTACGTGAGAACCCCGTTGGACAAAACTATAGACCGTGTGAACTAAATCAAACTTAGCTTCTAATTAAATTTTATAATTGGTATTTTATGAATTTTAAATTAAAAAAAAAATTACTATTATTACCTTTTGTTCATATACTTTCTACAAATTTTAGCCTAACTTATCTCTGAATCAATTAATTTAAGTAATTTTCTAAAGGTCCAAAAAGTAAGTTTTCACAAATGTTTATTTACATTGTTCCAAGATAATTAAATCTAATAATTGGTTTTAAGAATATTATAATGTTGTTTTTCAGGGATAGTTGCGTTTCTTAAAATGATTCTTATATCTTAACTTAAAAGAAAAACTAATTAATTTTTGATGAATTTTCATTAAGAATTTTGAACATGATTGTCTTCTCCAAAATGTTAGAAATAATTCTGAAATATTGTCATTTTGTATGTGTTCTTGGAAATATGTAATTGAAAATATTGAATTTTAAAACATTAGAAGAAAATTTGTATAAACTTTCATTTTAAATTTACCGTTAAAAAAAAATTATTATTTAAAAGCAATCTAAGTATATTTATTGTCAATTATCTATAACTTAATCTATTGAATTAGAAAAATGACATCAAGAGGACAAATCTTTGTTTTCGTCTATTTTTAAACAATGTTTAGAAAACTAAATTTTATTAATGTTAAAAAAAAAAAAAATTTTTTACAAATAATTATTATTATTACCTAACAAAAAGTTTGAACAAATTAAAGGTGGAAAAAGCTAACAATTATAGAAAATTAAATTTTCATTTTATATTGTCTAGAAACTTTAAGGTTTACCGCGGTTGCACCGATTTCCGTCCACGCCCCGGTTTCCGTCCATTTGTTTTATATTTTCGAATATATTAAAGGGAATAAATTTGTTTACTACATTTGATCATTTTACTACAACCTATAATATCTAATGCTCTCTTTGCACAATTATAATTGTAATTTGAACGTTAAAATTCTACAAAAATAAAATAAAAAAGTCTTACAGTGCTATCGAATGCCTTCTCGTGAGAGAAAATAGTGACTATACACAAGCGAACAGCTGAGAATTATTTCGTGTTTCGATAATTTACGTTAATATTGATTTGAAAGTATATTTATCGATAAATTAGGCATTAATTTATATACATTATTAATTATAGACAATAACATTAATTTCATAACTTATTTATCTGTCCCAGAACAAAATTCTTCTCCAAAGCTAAATTATTTCAGAAATTTTACTAATTTTAATGATTTTCAATATCTACGATTTTAATAAAATATTTCACAAAAAGAATTCAATTATTTAAAAGGAAATATATTATTAAAATTCATCCCAAGAATTAAAGTATTTTTTTTATTAATAATTATTATTATTCTCAGGTATCCAATTATTTTCAATACAGTTAAAAAAAAAAATTCGATTCTATTCCATAAACTAAAGAAACTTTAAAAAAAAAATGCAATTAGTATCAAATTTCGATAAAATTCTTTGCAAGAATTCAATCACTTGAAACTTTTATTGAAATTCTACGCAAACATTTAAATTATATTCACAAAGTAATTAAAATTCATCGCAAAAAAAAAATTCAATTATTTTCATAAAAATAATTTAAAATAATAATAATAGTAATAATAATAACAATAATAATTTAAAATTCTAGAAAATAATAATTCAATTAAAATGTTGAAGGTTTGATGAAGTTACAGTAATAATATTCTTATAATGTAAAATAATGATTTTGTCTCTCGGTCATCTTTAATTTATTAGAAAACATGAAGAAATAAAATATACTTTTATAAATTGTTCAATTTAAAAAGGGTTTAAATTTGAAATTTTGAATGTCTTAATTCCTGAGGAAAATCTTGTTTCAAAAATAAGATTAAGAATATGAATTGTGCAAACATTTTTCTTCTTTTTCTAAAACAAAATAATAATTCTCTTAAAACAAAAATAATTTTGATTACGAACATTTAAATTATTCAAAAAAAAAAAAAACAACAAAAAATTTTTTAATAATTATTTATTTAGTTTTTCTTAACAAAGAATTCCGCATCTTCCGAAACTAGAGTAGTTGTAGTTATTCTCACAAATAAGGGTTTTCACAAGAATTTAATTTCAATTCAATTTCAATCCATATTACTAATAACATTTTCATAATGTTCTTTTATAAAAAAAAAATTAATTATTATTTGGAACAATGTTCATAAAGTTCCTATGAAGAATTCAATTACTTTTAAAAATAGCAAAATTTTGTACAGAAATCCAATTTTTAACAATTTTATGGACTTTTCTGCAATGATTCAATTATTTTCAGGGATAGTAGAGTTTCTCAAGGGAATTAAAATTATTTTGAAAATTTTAATAAAACTCTTAGCAACTATTGAATTATTATTAAAAATAATTCTTCAAAAGGATTCAGTTATATCAATAAATAAGAGAACTATTGCCAAAATTTTATTCCCGTAAATCAAAATTTTTATAAAATTCTTCTCGAGAATGATATTGTTTTTATAAATAATTGTTGAATTCTTTCATGAATATTAAAATTAATTACAGGAATTCAATTTATTAACAAGATAAGAAAAAATAAATACTATTCAGGATATCATGGTAAAAAAAAAAGGAGAATAATAATTTTAAAACGTACCTCGGCTTATGGGAGTGAGCTCCAACAAAATCCCTCGCTTATGGTCCAATTTTAGTACAGATTATATGTACGTGGATATATATATATATATGTGTATATATATATGTAGGTATATATGTATATGGATAATTTGGTTTTCAAATATTATCACTATTTCACTCTTAAATATTGAAAATTAAACAGAAACTTGAACTATTTATTTTAACATTCTCGAACGACACGCACTTCGGAAAAGGAAAACATAGACTAAGGGCACCTAAACTTAATGTACCCAACGAGAAGAGCATTTGTCACAAGAGAGGTATTTCTACGATTAGTCACGTCGGGTCGGTATTGGGTTCGCCTGTCGGCGCCATTCAATCTCTCGACGGTCGTAAAAATTATCGAGTCAGAGATCTTGCGAAGTATTAACGTCTAAACATTAGGGGCCGGGCGACAGAAAATCCTAGGCGAAGAAAAGGCAGTTTCTCTTTCCCAAATTTCAACCTCTCTATTTTCATTTCCTTCTTTCGTTGCACGCCTTTAAATATTATTCCCCAGCATAGAAAGATTTTAATTATTTCAAAATTTTCCTGTCTCGTCTTAACATTTTTACTAATTCGAAATAGAGAGTACTTATACTAGTAAATATCTATACACACATGATTAAAAAAAAAAAAAATTTTTTTATTTAATTAAATTTGCTTAGCTCTTTGCAATTGATTCCATACCGAAAATTCTAATCTGGAAAATATAATTCTGGATGCTTTAATTTAAGTAATTATTAATATTAAATTTAACATTGTTCAAATCTACACAAATCAATACATTTTTTTTATATAAAAAAAAAATAAATATTAATTAGAATTGAATTAAATTATATTTAATTATATCGTGTAGAATTTTTTTTTGTAAAACTTTCGTATGTAGATAATTTTCTAAAAATTTTATCAATTTGAAGAGAATTTTAAATTCAAAAATCTATAAGTGTAAAGAATTTGATGATTTTCTGAAAACTGCATTATTGAATTGTATAGAACTATTTGGTGTTTAACGGTGTAGACTTAATTAATTAAAAAAGAAAAAGAATTCATTATATTTTCCTCCATGAATAATTTTACGTATAAAAATTAATTCAAAATGAACTGTACAAATTGAAAAAAAAAAAAAGGAATTTTAATTAAGATCAATTTTAACAAAATTTTTTTTAATTAATTTTCTCTTAGTTATGTTCTGTTATGTTATGTAGTTATGTTCAATTCTTTTCAGAATTTTCTTGTAATTACTAAATGATTCATCTCATTCAGGAAAATTATTATGATGTTGCAAAGAATTGAATTCTTTCTGCAATTTCTTTAATTTATCGAATAATAATCGATTTTGTTAATGACTGTAATTTATAACTTTACTGCATTGAAGAAAGGATTTGTTTGATTCAAATAATTCAAATTGTTTGAAAAGATGTTTGATTGATTTAAGTACTTTTAGTTGAATCAAAAGAGACTATGCTTACTTGAACCGGATAAATCGTGCTTGATTCGGATGAATGGTGAATTGAATTGAATGAATAGATTTGTTTAATCAGGGTGGACATTTTTTTTTGTAAAAATAATTCCCGGTCACAAATTATTTTTTTCCGGTCATAAATAATAACTCTGAAAATAAATTATTCAATGAAAGATTAAAGGAATTTCCTGATTTTAGACAAAACTTTGATTCTTTCCCAAATCCTAAAAATAGTTTTGAACTCAAATAGATTTTTTTGAATACCTATACTATATAAAGTTGAATAGTTTTTAAGAATTGCTACTGTAACTTATTAAAAAATTATTTTTAAAATTTCAATTCAATATTATATTCTAGAAATAACTAAAATATTTTTAAAATCCCCTTGTTTACAAGACAATTTCATGAAATTTTGAATAATTTGAAAATGGGAATAAAAATACTTCTAAAAACTAACTTATTCAGAATTTTAGTTAAAATCTTTTAAAAATTCAACTTTTCCAAAAACTTCAATTTGAAACGTTTGAAAATTCAATCTATAATAATAATAATTTAACATTCTAAAATATAGAAAAATTTGCTTATGAATAATTGTAAAAAAAAATTTTTTTTTAAAATCCCGGTCAAGATCAAAATTCATTGTCATTTCCCGGTCCAGCAACCACCCTGGTTTAATACAAATATTGAACTATTTGAAGCTGTTCTTTCGTATATTTTACCCAGGTATTTCGTTTGTTTGATGTAAATGGAAATTATTTGACACAATAAAGTTATTTTATTTATAATTATTACAAATAAATTTATATTATTACTATATAAATTTATTATTATTGATATAATAATTAATATTATTAAAAAAAAAAAATTATATATATAAAAAAAAAAAATTTGCGTTTAAGTATGAAAAAAATGTGAAAGTGAATTATCAATGAATTGTCATCAGTATTTATCTTTTGCAATTAATTACTTTTAATATTGTTGATGTTGAAATTATCAATATTGAATGGAATAATTTTCATGCTTGATTCGGATAATTGTTTATTACATTGAAGTATTCGATTTGTTTGATTTGAATAATTTGAGTTTGATTTAAATGAATAGTTGTTTAATACAATTAAATGGAATATTCGGGTCAAATGATCGTTTATTGAATTCGGGTGTTCTGTTTATTTGATTTAAATTAGTTGTGTTTGATTCGGGTAAACAATTGTTTGGTGCGATAATATAAAATATTTAGTTCAATATTTGTGTATTTGACTCAAATACACATTTATTGGATTACGACCAAGTAAATGATTTGTTTGAATCGGGTAATTTTTGTTTGGTTCGGGTAATTTTTTTATTTATTTAATTAAATAAGGTAAAGCAATGATAATATAAATGTATATTTGGAGAAATAAGCACGTTTGATCAGCATTCCGGGTACCTATACTGTCAATCGATCCCCGAGAACTATAAATCTGTCAAGGCTGGAACTCGTACGTTGCCCAATTGTAACCCACAGCTAGCGACGAGCAGCAGAGGAAAATCATTCTGAACAGAACCAAAATGATTCTCCGTCTTTTTTTCCCTTCTCTCTTCCCCTCTTACTCTGACCCTATAAGTCTTTCTTTCGCTTAACAGTCAAATCTCAAACGAAATTTTGATTTCCTTCGACACTGAAGAATGCTGTTTTACCTTAGAAATGATTAAATACCGAAAAAAACAAATGTCTCGGGCTCGTTTGTTTACCAATTTTTACATACTTTAAATGATTCAATGCAACAAGTTTTTTTTTTTCTCTTTTCATAATTAATATTTGTTTCAGACATTATTGTATCAATTAAGCTCAAAGAAAAGATTACTATATGTTGGAAGCAATTGAAATTTAAATAGGATTATTGAAGATAGCCGACTTATTAGGGAAGTTTCATTAAAACAGGCAATAGTTTAATTAAAAGAATTTTATTTTATCAAAATTTAAATTCCCCTTGACGGTTAATAAAATTGAATTTCTTTACAATATAAATTTAAAAGAAGGAGGGGAGGAAAAAGGATTCCATTATAGGAAGGGAGAATATATGTATATATATTTTGGATGAGCAAAAGAACATCTAGAACCAATCGTCCTCACTGTCCTCTGCATTGGCCGTTCCCATCTCTTCTGTATTCTCCTCAGAAGGCTTGCAATTGTCTTCCCCAAATAAATGTCCCTCGGTCCCGATTGGCTCCCATAATTCGGGTAAATCTATGTTGTATGTCTAAAACAAAGTTGTATATAGAATACCCCAAAAGAAAGCAGTCCGTATTTAGAATAAAATAAAATTTTTTTTACACTTACCAACTGCCATGATCCGTTCTGGGAGTGTACGCCGTCCGCGTTTTTATAAAAAATCTGAATAAATGCCAGTTTGAAGGACTTCTCTGCGGGAACGAAGCCGTTATATGGTGGGACTTTCGGCAGTGACTTAAACAAACTAGTAATACACAAATTAGTAAACATATTAAAAAAAAAAGAGAGAGAGAGAGAAAATAAATATTTGTTTTGTTTATTAAACTAACCAATTTCCCTCAGGATGAGCAATTCCTGAAGCATGCTGCTCCATTAGCTTTAAAGACGTGTCAGCGACTAATAACGGATGTTCGAAATCTTTCTAAAAGAAAGAAAAGAAGAAATTTTGAGATACCCCGGAATGATTGAATTTTCATGAATTATTTTCTGGTTTGCTGATATGATTGAACTCTCGGAGAGATTGGTTGGACTTCTACTCAAAGCAATTGAATTTAAATAATTATTCAATCCATTCTAAAGTTATTATTTACGCAAAATAAGCACGATCATGCTACTCACGGTGGCCCAGAATCCGCGCACATAATATTTTCGTTTGGAACCATCCCAAGAATACTCCTGGTGCCAGCATCCTCTGGAATAGGGCTTGGATTCAACAGTATTCTGTATGAATTTACTGAAATACCAAGCATCGCCCTGACTTTTCCTAAAAGGAGCCTCCTCCCACGGTCCAAATCTAATCGTAAAACTAAAAAAAAAAAAAGGGGGGAAAACTGAATTTATAACCAAATTCGAAATTTTGTTTAAGTCCAAAGTTAAAAAAAAAAAAAAAATTTCTGAATGATAGGGTGAAGTGGGGTGAAAAGCCACATTTTTACTTTCGATGCTGTAAAATCTGTATTAAAATTGTGGGGTGGCCACTACAAAAAAAAAAAGAATAATAACTCTAAAATTGATTGAAACTCCAAAATATGTTTAAAATACATTTTCAAATCTCTAATACTAAAAATAATTTTGAATTTAAATGGATTTTGAAACAAATATTTAATTACTATCCACTATTTTCCGTATTATTGTTCAAATTTCAAAACCTGCAAATTCGAATAATTTTGAGAATTGCTTCTGTCACTTATTAAGTATTATTTTCGAACTTTTAATTCAATTACCTTTAGAAATATTAACTGAAATATTTCTAAAATCATCTTGTTTACAGGACAATTTGATAAAATTTTAAACAATTAAAAAAAAAAAAAAAAAAAAAAATTTTTTGGACATTCTTTATAACTTTCCTTTAATTATATGACAAATGATCACATTTAAACAATGTTTTAATAATTATGAAAAAGCTTTAGCAAACAAAATTGAAATTTGTGTTGAGTTTACCTGTTTTCAATTTGCACTATCAATTTTCGTACCTTTTTGGAAGCTTTCTTTAAGTTTCATTACAGATAACATATTTTAGTTGCAATCGTTTAATTTTTTTATGCACTTTAAAACTACTAAAATATTAAATGTATTTAATTAATTTTACTAAATAAACACGATAAATCTTGTAAAATAAGAAAGTTAGTCTAAGTGGAGGACGGTTAAATTTCGCAAGGATATTCAATGGAATTTTACCCTGGCTTTCCATCCCACTCTACCCTGATAACCGAGAATTTTGTTAAATGAGAATAGTGGGCACCCTATTAGCAAGAACTTTAATCCTACTTACCCTCTCTCCGATCCGAGTTGCTGGAAGTGAGTCTTGTACCGAAAATATCTCTTGACCTTTTCAACAAAGGGCATAGAATGCTCCTTTGTTTCTCCAACAAGCAACCTTGTCAAGAGGTGGCCCCTCAGAGTCACATTCTTGTCCCCCGGAACCAAACTACAAATCTCCCTCCCTCTTCGAACAATATCGATAGCTTCTTCATGTTCATCCTCGAGAGACCAGGATGACCACGAATAAGAACAAGACGAAGAATAATGATCTGATTCCTTGCCAAAATTCAATTCCATCTTGTTTGAAACCATTTTCGCGTTTCCTTCGAGACAGAAAACACTAAATTTCAATGAACACTCAAATTCGACACTCACAACCTAAGGTTACAAACTACACCGATCGTCGCGAAGACTGAAAGAGCACTGAACTACTGGAGTGAGGTACTGGACCACTACGCACCGACACTACGTGACTAATCTGACGGTTCCCAATTGCGTTTGTACTACTTAGGAGATGTGCGGGCGCAACGTTAAAATACAAGCGTCTAATTAAATTAAGCACCACTGGGGCAGTTCGAGGAATGTAACATGCTGCGATCAAGAAAATTTGTTTCAGTAGTAAAGTAAAAAAATTAAAAATCTTTCAGTTCACATTTCAGTTGCAATTACGGAAAGCCATTTTGCGATTATTAAATTTTTGTGTAATAAAAAATTAAGAATACAAAAGTTTATCGTAGCAATCGTTTGAGAAATTTTCTAGCAATTATTTCTTTGAAAATTTCCCAAATTTTCTGGAAGAATGTTCAATTTTCGATGCTAAAGCGAAAAATTAAAAAAAAAATCTACAGTACTTACATCGGATTTCAGAATCTTATAAAGAAAAATAATTAAATAAATAAATGAGGGCATGCTATTTTGTAAAACAGTTCTAAAAATTTATGCTTTCTGCTTTGCATTTAAAATTAAATTTTGAAAGCTGTTTTATGTTTTATATTTGAACATTTTTATGAAACCATTTAGTACTTAGTAAGTAATCGGGTTTGATATTCAATATGTTATTGCTGTATCCTGATTTTAATTATATAATCGGAACTTTTTTTTCAAAATTTTAACAATAATGTTAACCATTTAAAAGAAAATTCTCTGTTAATATCATTGTACTGCGAGGTTATTATGGAATAATAGTATAGCATTATAACAATAATACGCTGTCGCGTAATGCAATAACTTACGGAGAATTAAGGCTATTACTGAAGCCACTACTATTTTACCCATAATATATTCAACATAAAATTGTATAATTGTTTTCGAAATATTAAAGAAATTTTTTTAATACATCGTCCTAGTATGTGCATTTCTAAGTTCAAGGCATCAGGGTTTTCGGGGACGAAAACTGGAATTTTCACGGTGGATTGTTAGAATACTAGTCTTTTAAAAAGTAAGTTAATTGACAACCATGTAGAATAAATTTAATTTCAAATCAACCCAAGCATATAAAAGCATCGCAACGCAGCGACGCTATGCTTGAGGATATTTGACACCCTGATAACGTCAAATATCTTACCGAGAGAATGCCTTTAGCTAAGAAATGCTTATAAAAATAGTTAGAAGGACAAAAGAAATTATTATTTCTTTTCTCCTTCTACTAAATAATAAATATAATAAATAGTCATTAATAATTGTGCCGGCGCAGTCAATGCTGCCTACATCGAACCTTGTGGCAAATTATAAATATAAAATTTGTATCCAAATTTCAATTCTATAGAACATGCAGAAGGCGCAATGTTGCAGCCAATGTATATATATATATATATATATTCTATTTGTCATTGCTGTTTAGAGCTAAGAAAATACATTGCGAGGTTGTGCGTGTGTGGGGATGGTCGGCGGCAACACACACATGCCTGCGCGACCGCCGTTTATGAACACCAGCACACTCACTGGTTTCCCCGGCTACAGAACTAATACCTTGAAGGCTTTCATGCTACGGACACCAACACAAGTGCGCTATGCTTGCCTCTAATCGCTGCCTGGTTGTGCGTAGAACTTTCCTCTCCCCTCAGGGCCCATAAGCTGTAGACTACAGCTTCAAAACAAACGCACGTGCGTTACAGCTGACGTAAACTACAAGGCGGCATGCCTTATGACACTTGAATTTATGAATCAAGTCAAGTGCACACAGAAACAATTTAACAATAGTTAAACATTTTGTTGTAAACATTGTTGTTACAACAAAATGCCGGAGGACATTAGGTTGTATGTATATGCATATATATATATACTACTCGATATGTAAAATGCATATACAAGCAACCTATAAAAAGTAGGAACAATATAATTACAATAGATAAATTATATGCACTATTATAACTAAGATAAATAATAATTCTATTAATTAAACAATATAATTATTATTTAAATTCTAAGTTATTTCAAATAATATTTCAAAAAAGTATCATGTTAACAGACCGTTTCCGTTCTCACGGACCCACCGTGAGATCCAAAACGTCAGCAAAAATGCATAGACCAATGGGCCCATGACTTACTCCTACTACTTACTCCTACTCCTAAAAATCTTCCCCGCTTTGCACCAAAGGCAAGGGTTAGAGGCTTGTCGCAAAATTTCAATCATCGCAGTACGAATTCTCGCTTCTTCTCGAAGACACCTCTCCTGGGTCTAACCTAGAAAGTGTTTTGGGACAGAGAAATTTCGCGACAAAAAGCCCGTCCGCGACCCGGAACCCGATTTGCATGAATTAGGGCAGACGTTAAAATTTTCAAATTCTCTGAGCCGGTGGAGTCCAGTGCGGGCTGATTTTGGTGAGATTTTGGAATTGTTAATCTATTAAACAGTTCTAAAATCTTGTTATTTATAACCGGCCGGTTGCATAGATATTGCCCGCGTCCGTCTCAAATATCGGTGGCCCACGAGCGCGATCAAAACCAATTATCGAATTATCGGTTGCATAGATATTGCCCAGACTAATTCGGTAAACGGTAGATCCGCAGTGAGTTTTACACAGTTGCGTGAGACGGCCGGTTGCATAGATATTGCCCGCGTCCACTCGCCACAAGTGCAATCTCGCAAACGAAAGAAAATTGCGCGAATCTTACGTCGCGATTTTCGGTAGAAACAAGAACAAAAGAATTTTCGCCCGACGGATGCTTTGTGATTCAAAAGAGGAATAGCTCCGCCGGTAGTTTGTAAGTAAATAAGTATCGTTTCAATTTACATATTCTAACACACATACATTTTCTATTTGTAACACACTATAATCATTCTGTATTCAAAAGGTATTTTTCTATTCTAAAATAAATCATGTATTCATAGAATCAATTTCTTTACTTACCTAACTAAACCCTAAATTCAAATCATCTTAAAAATAGTGCATTTAACGAATCAGAAGGTAACTTTTAAAAGTAGGATAACGTCCCCACAAATTAAACAGAATAATAAAACATTCTGGCAGCTTGGTGCCTCCCCAAATCGAGATAAAGGGCCATCTCAAAAGCCTAATTAATAAATTTATTTCTGGTTTGTAACACAAAATGTCTTTTTTGATATGGAAAGAGTGATATCTCGAGTTCTTCTCAAGCGATTTTAAAAAATCAAACGGCTTTTGATTTAGCGTCATCATGCCTATAAGTGGAACCTTAAAAACTGGAAAATTTCTAACTCTTTATTTTATAAGGGAAATTCTGAATAAAAACACCTTTTTTTGCATATTTTAGAGAAAAAGTACTCTAAAAAAAGGGGGGGGAGAAAATTCCACTTTTTTGAAGTTTCACACCTAAAAAAATATCTAACGAAGAGAATGCCACTTCGTTTTTGGTTTTATCTGTTATAGAAAGTTTGGAATCGATCTTACCACCGAGAATGGGCATTTTCGAAAATGGCGTATATCGCCGCCATTTTGAAATAAAAATGAAAATTTTTTTTTTACAAATTCTTAAATAAATTATTTTTTACATGTAAAAATTTACATGTTTTTTTTTTCATGTAAAAGAAATTTCTTAAATAAATGTCATAGTTATTTTAATAATATATACTAAAAAAGCCTTCTTTTTGCTTGTTTTGAACAGTCATTTATTTGTTCGACCGTATGAAAATAGCGATTTTTTTCCAAGGGCAAAAAAACAGTTGGTCCCATGCTTTTTTTGCCCAAGGTAAAAAAGGCCGCCATTTTCATACAAGTCGAACAAGTGAATGACTTTTACTCCCTGTCGTCTGCTATCTGAAATCGACACTTTTGTGCATTAGAAATAAAAAATATCGTATGTAATACGGGAATAAAGGCAGCCAATTTGTTCACGATGATTTTTGTGACACGAGTGGAGGTCTCGGGGCGCCCTCGACCTCGACTCGTGTCACAAAATTCACTGTAAACAAATGGCTGCCTTTATACCCTTGTTGCTTAATATAATATTTTTACAAGATTAATGATTAGGTACAATTTTATTGTGTCATTTGAAGAAAAAGAATAGATATTAATCTTATTTAAAATTTTTTGACAGTCTTTATTGTGAAAAAATTGATGCAATATCCAAATTTTCATTTCGACAATTACACAATTACACCTCCATTTTTAAAATAAGGATTTTTTTGCAAATGACCGACAAAATGGGCCCTTTTCATTTTTTTAAAGAACCAATGAAATCTATCAGTTTAATTATCGATAAATTATTAAAAACCGCAAATTCCTGGTAATGAGAAAATTATGAAAAACATGTTTCCCGACATGAATTTTTAGGGAAATAAGAATTTAATATAAGTGAAAAAATTTTAATTTACTTAAAATAAAAAAACCTTTTCATTTTTACAACTCTTTTTAGTTCACTTATTTTATATTTTGACTGACTCGATTATAAGATTGCAAACTTTTTTTATATAAAGATACTAGTGCACTAATAGAGCCTTTTGCGACAACGTCATCGAATTACGAAAAAAGTAGCCATGGTTCCTCGAAACGTCCAGAAAAGAAGAAAGAAAGTGCAAGAAAACTTGATATCTGCATTGCAAGTCTTAACTACCAAGACAGAAAATCTGGTATTTCAATAATTATAGAAAAAATTACTATTTACATGAAGAGAATAATTTAAAAAGGGAACCAGTCAAATTTTAACTTATTGAAATTATTACTGTTTGCCCCATACGCTCATTTTGAGTATAAATGTTAGTTTAAAAATAAGGTATACTACACATGGTTGTTTTGAAATTCTAAACAACAGTTTTGACAATCTTGTCATTTCAGAGATATTGACATCTGGACGGTTTGTCCCACTCTCCCCAAATATTA